ACTAAAAAGACATCATGTCACCTTCCATTCAATGATGGGAGATCGGAGAACTTGAGGGAAAAGTCTGAATGATAAAAGCACGAAGTTACCAGGAGCATGAAGTTGGTTTTCACATTCTCTGATACAAGAGCAGAGCCATACAAATGCAGCAATCTTTTCATGATGTAACCATCAATTACCAGCATGCTGCAATGCAAAATCAGACACCTTTCCAACAGCCTGCACGTAGTTTAAACTACGCTCCCCAATGGCTCTTTCAATAGCAACAGCAGTTTAACAATTAGGCTTTATGTCTCTTTGGTCAAAATGACTCAACATGGACGCTCCCTTAAAGTCTAACAAACAAATTTGGTCCAACCCAGTTATGTCAATACGAAACAAAGGCTTTATCTAGGGTCTGGTTTAGAGTTTTGTTCGGAGGAGATAAGTCCACACCATGATCAATGGGACCATAAAACTCCTGATGCAGTTTGTAACCTCTCCTCAAGGGAGAAAAAAGATGAAACTCGGCAGCCTATTTAAAAAAATACCATTGCATTCATTACTTTAATTTACACCGTGATACAGTCAGAATTCTTTCTAGTCTAATTGTCTCTTCGATCTCTCGACAATACACCGAGCCCTCCACTTCACATACATTCTCCTCACCTTTGGACATGAGCAAAATCTGAAGAAGCCATATATTCCCTCCGAGGTTTGCTCTCCTCAGTCTAACACTTCTCATCTCAACTGTTCTAGAAACAACTGCAGCTAAAGAGCCAAGCTGTGCCATCTTCATGTGATGCCACCAACGCTGCAAGGACAGTCGGTGTGACCGACTGCGAAGAAAGCACTGGCTTGGGCACAGATACCAGAACCTAGTCCTGTACATAAACAAAACTGCTTTTCTCATTTGTATGGAATAGAAGAGTGAAAAATACAAACTAGGATGCACTGAAAATTATATACAACAACTTTTTTTTTGTGGATACATGCAAAAATGGTATTTACTCTCCAGAAAGTACAAAACGACACTTCATAACGAGTGTAGTTCAGCTCACAGGCAAAAGTGAAGGCAAGAAACTTCCCTACAGTTCTTTATATAAACTTCCTCCTCGTTTCTCCATGCACCAGTTGCATCCATACTGTTGTTCCGGTTTGTCATAAACGCAGTCACCTTGTAACCCCTCTTATCAAGCCATCTATGCACTACCTAAGAGTACACTACACTTCATCAGACAAGCTATAGGTTCACATTATACAAACATTCCAATTCTGCCTGCTCAGCGCAGGTTGTCAATAAACGCAAGCAATTGCAAAACAGCAATGTGTGTTTTTTTCCTTAAGCGAACACTGATACGAGCCTGCCAGTTCTGCAAAATAAACTCTTTGCAATCTCTGTAGCTAATCTGTCAACAAATTACTATTAAAGTCATCCCTCCTATAAGTTCAAAAGCATTCTGGGTTAGACAAAAGATCCCACGTTAATACACTCGGGGGGCAGGACTTGAAGGTACAGTATCAAAGTGGATCTCGCTATTGATGGAGGGAGGTTTGTATTCCTGCAGCACAGCACTTGGTGTCTTGCTGCTGCCTATCAGCATTCAACTTCATAATCATTCTCTTTGTTCAATTCATATTATTCTTTCTCTACTAACAACATGAAGAACACTTTAATGAACAGTCCCAAGGATGAAAATACATCATAATAAATAATATTTATTTTATAAGCTAAAAAAACCTGACTAGAACTGAAGCATCAAGCCTTCTATTTCTGCAGACATCAGAAACCACTGAAGCGGCTAAAGCTGTGATCATCTATGTTAACAGGCAGTCTGTCCCCACGACTTTATTTCTTGCTCCCTGGTAACCAAGCTGCCCCATCACTACACGCGTCCTGCCCCAGCCTCCCTGGCTCAGCCTGACCTGCAGCTCGTTTCTGCTCTGGCACCCGCTTTGCACCACACACGTGTTCGGAAGGGTGCCCAGGAGTCACCATAGATGCTGCCACATGTACCTGCTGCCCTGCTCCCAGGCTTTCAGCCCCTCACTTCTGGCCCCGTGGGCACCTTGGAAGCAAGTTCATGAGCACTGCTGCCTGACTTCAAGCCAATCACTCGCTTCTGTGTCCTCAGAAAGTCTGATGACCCAGGGGACCTTCAGGACTATGCCAGGTGTTACAGGAGCCCACAAAAACCCTGCCCATTCCACTCAACTCTGCCATAAGCCATCCATTTCTGCACAGGGCCAATCTCCTGTGGAGCCAGCAGTGACAGGAAGGCAATTCCTCCCACCCCAGCAGATGCCAAAATCCCACATGAAAGTCTGCCTTCCCTCTTAGGTGAGGCCTGGGGTTGATTTTTCCCACACATATCTACATTCTTATACAATTCTTCCATAGGTGGTCCCAAAGGAGCCACCTGTATTGCTTTTGCTGTTTGGAAAGTATCTTGCTTCATGATTACAAAGAGAAACATCAGTGTGAGTTGTACGTCTCCGTTTCAGAAGACTGCTAACACCAAAATAATTTTGCACCACTCCACCTCCTTGTACCCAGAGATGACACGGAAAGCAAAACGTGCCCTATGAGCCCTCATGCACTTGCCACAAGAGAGCTCGCAGCACACGTCACTCCTTCAGACACAGGAACATCTGCAGTGCTCCAGTTTTCCATGATAAAATATTTACAAGTTTGTAGACCCATTAAGGCATTCTAAAAAATGTGAAGCATTTCTGTTTTCCTTTCTCATCGTAACAAAGCTATTAGTTCTCATAAATTCATAAATTTAACAAAAAATGTGAACCAGAACTCGGTGCAGATGCTTTGCAGGAGCAGCTGTACGCGCTGCACCGCTCAGCCCTGCTCAGAACCACCCTGAGCAGCACAGCCCAAAGGAGCGCCGCTGATTTTTGTTCAGACAAAACAAGTGCCAGGTGGCAAAAAGAAAAGATTTGAATGAAATGCTCTTAAGAAATAGCTGTTTAATTCAAAACTCATTCATTTGTATTGAAGAAGCGTTCTGTAGAACGCATTCTGTTAAGTGACCTGAGAGCATATGTTGTATATGGAGAAACATCTAAACATTATGCTCCGTGTTGCATGTGTATCTGTAAATGCTTGCATTAGCTGTCTGAAAACAACGGGTTTTTCTTCTTTTCATATTTAAAAATATTTTACAAACATAAAGATTGATATTTTTGTGCTAGCTCCGATTACTCTTTTGTTATCAGATCTTTCTGAGTAAGCGTTCCAAACTTTGCAATCGACTTGCTCTTCAAAGGTAAACAAAAAATCTGGAAAGTTACCCATCAGAACCAACTACCAGCAAGATCCAATCACAAAACATAAAGGTCTTTTAAGCACCTGAGAACTGAGAGCTGATGGAACGCAGTCAATGGGCTGGCAGAGATGAGTAACCAGGAGCTGGGGCTGCAGAGCCACGGCAGAGCAGCTCTGGCTGTGCCCAGCAGCACTCACTGATCCTGCCGCTCTGTCACTGCTCGCAAAGGCGGCCAGCAGCCAACACAGTCTCTGCACATGGTTCTGGTGCTATGGTGAGGATTAGGAACGGGGAGCATAGGAGGAACAGCAGAGGTCTGCATGTTCTGGTCTGCAGTGCCCTACTGTGTGTGTGTGCACACATACGTGTGTGTTTGTGTCCTCTGTGCCTCACTGTGCACGGAGCGGGCAAGCGGCAGCACTGGAAAATTCCATCATGCCCCTATGGAAAGGCAGCGTAATTAACTCGTTTTGATATCAAGCCTTTTTAAGAAGAGACCTTTGCATTGAACATATTTTACTGTTCGAATCCTCTTCTACTGTCCTATATTAATCAAAGCTGTAACCCCTGTTGTCTTTGCACTACGAATCAGAATGTGCCCCTGGCGAAGAATGAGGGAAAAGTCAACAGGAATTAAGTTTCAGTGCAACTGTTTACTCAACTGTGGCCTGCAGTTATTGAAATTTTATCCGTGGTTTTGTGTGACTACTGCAGTAATGAATTCAGCATGGCTGTGATTTTCTCACTGATGGTATTCTCACTTCAAGTAAAAACCTGTACGATGAAAATAACTGAAACAACCAAAGTCTGTGCTTTTAGTGTCATCTGTTTTCCTGACTCGTTTAATTACGGCAGCTTTCTGTCTTAGGCTGGCAAACCAGGTCCCCTGCTCCTCGACAAGCCTCCAGTTTGCTTTGTTTTTGAGTGCAGGTTTTTCTTCTCCTCAACAACCAGCTAAAAAGATCACAGTACGCTTAGGGGAGCCTTAACCAGCTGCCAATCGCTTATTTAAAAGGTTTTAAGAATGCTTATTGCATTAGAGAAAGTGAGGGTTAGGCTAAGTGTATTCACGGTGGCTCCACAGCCGCCTTTGTTCCCAAACACATTAATGACACGTGCCCAGCTCTTCAGCGCAAAATTTCCTGAGAGGGTTGCAAAATTTTATCAAGAAAAAAGACAAAATGTATTATAGGGATAATTCATACCGGTGAACATGGTCACTTCCCAGAAAATACACTGATCAAAATACAAAGGGAAAGCCCTGACACATAATTCTGCTGCTTCTTGTGAACTGAAAGGAACACTGACGCACGGGGTGTTTATTTATTTACCCCAGAGTTCTGCCACAGCAGATACCTCCACGGCCTTTCTCTCTAATAGAAAACATTCTGTTGATAGAGGTTGCTAGGTTATATTAAAAATTGTTGCAAAAACAAAACCTAACGTTAGCGTGTTTTCCACCCAGTGACACACTTGGGAAACCAGCTATTTGTACACAGTGGCTCACCCGACTGCTGGCACCAGGCTCAGCACACTCAGAAGTCCAAAAGAACCCCAAGAAGAGAAGTCTAACGTTCCCCTGTACACAGCGACTGCAATCCTCTACAGACAAAAATGTACAGAATGTGGCAGGCAGGTCCTGAAAGCATCCTTCGATTGGCAAATACAAAGGGGTTGGAAGACGTTAATGCTTCGTGTTTTTTTCTGTCAGAAGGAAAATTGTAATACGTCTTACAGTACCTGCTGTTGCTGAAGATGTGTTAAATCTGCAGCCCCAATTTCAACTGAAGGTGTCTCGCCGTTTGATCTCACCTCCCGTAGGCTGCACTCTAGTAAGTGGTTGCCACCGCTCGCTCCATTCTGAATGGCTGAACCGTTACTTTTTGTCTCAGTCCCAGATTCTTGCATCATGACTCAAAAACCTGAAATAATTTAGGGGAGGGGAAAAAAAAAGCAGCTGTTAAAACAGTTGCTGTATATAAGGAGACATGCCCTGTTTTAAATCCTGCCAAAACTGTAAACATTTGTCATTTCCCTTCATACGATTTATCTTTCATTAATGGTTCATGCTACTAGTTTATGTTTATTTATCTGTTGGTACAGCTATAATTTTAGTAAGTAAGTTCAGTTCTAAATATAGTATTATTTGCTCAACATCTTTTTCCCCTTAGAGAAAAAAAAAATTCAAACCAACACACAGAATCCACAATTAAACTTCTCTAGTTCCATCTGGATGATCTCCTTTGCAACGGTGAGTCATCCCTTGCAACATGTGATGGACAACATCAAGAACCTGATACACAGTGTGCAGGGGCAGGTGAGGGAAGCAGTGCTCAGCACTTCAGTTTTCATCCCCAACTTTTATTCCTATCAAGCAATTTTGACTGAATCTGGGATGTTCTGGAGCAAACTGCTTCAGCTGCTCATAGTCTTTTGGGCAATTATCTTGGATTGGGTTTGACTTTAGAGGCACTATGGCAATACAGCGAAGAGGCTTCAGATTTACTTGCAGCAAACTGTGTCTTTGACTAAATACCATTGTGGTAGTTATTGTCAGGCAGCAGCACGCTGCCCTCAGCCCTTGGTGGACAAGATCTCCCAGCAAAGGGGAGGAGGAGGATTTGGAGCAGGACTGCCCAACTGCTTACCCTGGGTCTCTCGGGGTTCGCGCATGTTTCTGTGAATTAACTGGCAGGACTCGAGCACAACAAGACCCCAAGCAAAGCATGTATGCCAATTTCCAGCTGCAAACTGCTACCTTTGAGAAGTCTGATGAGTTGTTTTATGGGCATTTCCACCTGCTGGGCCCTAAGTTACAGGATTTAAATGTAATCGGCATGCTTCCTCCAGCCCATCCCTCCCTCTGTTCATGCTCTGCCTCTTCAAGAGGAAGAACAAATATCCCTTCTGACACACAAGGGAAAATGAAAATCCAGAAGGGAGAGAGAAAACAATGCATTTCTAATGGAAAAGTACCAGGAGAAATCACTTTCCCAGGAAGTTCACAGGAGCACTAGCTGGGGACAAGGACTCCTTCCATCATCACTTCCTCAGCAGTCATGACCATTAACCAGAGATGAATCAAGAAGGAATTCACGCAACTCCTTTCCTTCCATCTGAATTTGGGGTCAAGGCTCAAGACACAAAGTGGAGTATTTCACTCCCTTACCCCAGCACGAGAAGGACCAGTAAGACCGCATTAGGTGAAACCCAGAGGCTCATTTTCATGGGGATGGCACCATCATGCATTGCTCCGAGGCAGAGCACCTGGCTGAGCACGAACACATAAAGAAAGGGCTGCAGGGCCTCCAGCAGATACCACCATGGAAAGAGATGTTAAAAGCAGTACGTTCAAACAGTAAAAAAAAAAAAAGGACTTTTCATTCCCAAACTCTTCTGATGCAACAGATTGACTGGAGGCAAGAACCTGGACAAACTACTACGGAGGGGAGGGGAAAGTGTCAACCAAAGCCTGGAGATGCTTTGACAGCAGAAGAGCAATGCATTGCACCATGGAGCAGATCCATCATTGCCCAACCACTATTTGTTGGCTTGCTCTTCTGAGCAAAATATCCCCAGGTCACAGAAAATAATTCACAAAGAAACTGATCAAAAAATTATTTATTGCCTTGAGGACTGCAGAATGCTCCTGGAAAGAAACAACAGTAGCAGTTGCTACAATTTTTCCACCCTACAGGACTGAGAGAAGGATGGATTACTTCTGGGATACGGCAACAAGAAGATCACTGAGCTCCTGAAAGCTTCAGGACAGACTTCAGGCTCCCTCCTGCACCCCGAGTCCCACAGGCAGTGCCCACCTGAGCAGCCGTGCCACCCAGCATTCCCAGCAGCACTGCCAGCACTGCCAGGAACGGAGGGTGCAAAGCAAGCTCTAGGACATTAAAAAGAAAACTGGGGTGACTTGCACTCTGAGGCTCTTTTCACTCAAAAAAACTAGTTTGAAAGCAGAAGTGAACATCTCTGAGCAAATTTTTACTTAAGGATGCCTATTTACAGTCAGTTGTCTTCAGTATGCCTTCAATTGGACACCAATACAAACCAAATCTACTCTGCTGAAATGCCCTCCATGGAAAACAGGGTTTTCAAGGGTGTAAAGATAAAGCTGTTTATTTCTTCACCGTAGTCAAATGCGAGCTGACATAAATAATCACGGTTTGGTTTGATCATTAAGCATCATGTCATGAAAATCAACCTGCGAGAGCTTTCTGCAAGAATGATTATTATTTGTGTGTTTGAGCACACCTAAATGAGCGGAGGTGACGGTGCGCCGAGGATGGCTGAGATAATTGTCTCACTGCAGCACAGAGGAGCAGGCCTTGCAGAAGCCTATTAGTGAGGTCTGTCATTCAAAATCGCCAAAGAGAAAAGCAAATCAAGGTTGACTTCATGCGACACGATTACGCTCTGTGGCAACTGAGGGGAAGCTCTGTCCCTAGTGCCACTGTGACTCTGGCCTGAGCACAGCCCAAAGTGAGCAGAATGGTACCAAAGAAGCCGTTACGCATAATGATTTCCTATAGGAAATACTGTACTGCACAAAAGCTTCCACGACACACAAGATATTCTGACTTAAGAAACTGAACAGCAAAGGAACACATCTGTCTGGTGTATTCCACAAAGCAGAATGACTCTTGTATCAATTCTGAGAAGATAAATGCATTTTAACAGCTAAAAATCGACGGGCTCTTATCAACATGAGTATCTTTTTTTCAATAGAAATCTACACTATTTCACACCAGGGGTGGAATGACTCTTCAGATTGTAAAGGTGACACAAGATGTTTCTCCCCTGCTCAGGGACCAATGCTAAGCTGCAGTATAAACAACAACAAACTTCTTGTAAAATTTAATCCTGAAATCCAAGGGCTGGTATCAAACAAACTGCTCTTCTATCACTTAATGTCAGCTTCATTTAAAAATATCACAACAGAGATCGATTTTTTCAAGATTCTGGTCTTAAGCTGCACAAAACCTTTTCCAGTATTGATGCAGAGCCAAAGCCAAAGGGGTTTGGCCCGTCTCTGTTTAATACCTTATATTCAAGGCAATGGGGCAAAACTTTGGTGGAGAGGAACCAAAGCGTGGCACGCTATCAACAGCAGGACAACAGCAGCCATCTCCCAGATGATTTGGAGACAGCTGATTTTTCTGAGGGCACAGTCAGAACTGAGAAGAGCACAGGTCAGATGTGAACTTTGGCTGACTGAAAATGATCTTCCTGAGGATTCCGGTGTCGGTGTTTGGGATCAAAAGACAGAACCTGAAGGAGTCCTAATTTTAAAAATGCTCTGTGCTAACGCTAATAATCCATTTTTTAAAAAGTCTTTAACATCACGAAGACCAGATGCTGCAGATACACATCCCTTAGCACCACTGGGCTGTTCAGACGAGCAAGGTTAAGCACGGAGATCAGCAGGCAGGGCAATGAAGTGTGCAATTCCTGCAATTCTGCTACCAGCACACTTTCTAAAGACCAGGCAGCATTGTTTAACGTCAGCAGGAGGGAGGATTTATCGAGTGACGCACCTGTCAGAGCCCCTACAAGTCTGAAAGGCTGAAGGACAGAAACTCAGCTGTGTTTGGATGCCATCCCATACTATGAGGCATCTGGTGAGATACTTTCAAGACTCCTCAATAAGCAAAAAGCACCAGTGGACACCTTTAAGAATCTCATCACCATTAAAACGCTACCCCTTGGTTCCAGGGACATCCTGCTTTAAATACGCTTCCAGACCCAGCCTGGGCTACGTTCAAATGATGATTTTGTTTTGGCTATTAGCATTTAGAGGTTCATCTAAATACACACAGAACCTCAGAAACATTAAGGCTGGCAACGACTGCTAAGGTCATCCAGTTCAACTGCCGTAAGTACTGCACCTACACTTTCCTTAAACACCTCCAGGGACAGTGACTCCATCACCACTGGGCAGTCAGTTCCAGTATCTGACTGCTTTGGAGAAGAAATTATTCCTAATATCCAACCTGAATCTCCTCTAGCACAATTTGAGGCCATTCCCTCTGGTCCTATAGCTAGTTACCTGGGTGAAGAGGCTGGCCCCCATCTCATCAACCTCCTATCTGCACACAGAGTTCACCCAGCATTTCTGTCCCCTGGGAACAATGCTAGAACAAAAACGTTGTCATAACACATCCCCTCTTTGTCACATTTGTGAAAGATTTTATGCTAACAAAAAGTTCAGTCTTTATTCCAGGGCAGTTAATTAAGGTTGACCAAGTCAGGCAGAAGTAAATTAACTTGGCTGATCAATTATTTATATGAAGCAGAATAAATGCCCTTAAAGAACTTGGCCTAGCCATAAAAGCATGTGTAAATTAAGCTAAACAGAGATTTATAAAACATATTTCTACTTGTATGGAATAGTTAGTGGTAAAATCAGCTTTAAGTAAGTGATCAAATGACAAGATCTAGTCCTAAATCTCTAGCAGGCTCACTACCATACAGGCATCATTAGTAAGGCAAAATTTTAGCTATTTGTTGCAAGCAGTTGCCCCAAGCAAGCTTAGGACTAACTTCTGAGCGCTCCTCTGTCAAACTACAAAAACAGAACAGTGCTTGGAAGCACTTCACAGCAATGCAACGCTACAAAGGCAGGATTTCGCCTCTTGAAAACTAACGTGCTCCAGAGCACAAACAGCAAGGCAATACGAGAGCAGGAGCAAAGCTGCTTCTTACCAATTGCACCGGTACAGAACAAGCACAAAGGCAGCCTGGTGCTCCCAACAGCACCATCAGCAATGGGGATTACGACGGCTTTCTGGGACATCGCTGATGGACCCTTTCAGGCCCAGTATCCCTGGGGCAAGCACCACAGGCTCCAGGTCCCACCAGCAGCACTGCTGAGCTTCTCCAGGAATGTGCTTTCCATGGTGAAGCTGAACCC